CGAAGACTCGACTCGTGTGGAGGCCAATAATCACGTCGCGGGGTGAATTGGCCAACACGTGGACATCGACAGAGTGGCTGTCGGTGCCGATGGTGAAAGAGACGGTGGCGGAACCGTCGCTAAAGGTGCTACCGTTCACTTGGAAGATGGCGATTGCGGTGTGCGGACGGGGCTTGACATTCAAGCGTCTGGCGAGGGTGGCGCTGATGACGTTGATGGCGCTCCCGGAGTCAACAACGGCTCTGCTGGGGCAACCGTTGATACGCCCCGCAATATCCAGCAGACCTAGTGACGGTCGCTCAGGAAGTTTTCCGGAACAGGAACCGCTTCCTCATGTGGCACCTGTTGGATCGCGTCCCCGGGGTCGTGGTGAGGTTCGGCGGCGACCATTACTACCGGCTGGGTCCGCCGACGAGGACACTCGCGGTGCCAGTGCCACTGCGTCAGCCCGCTTTCGGCACAGATGCGGCACGCCGCTGGCGGGCGACGGTTTTGGTTGTTGGGGCCCGGACTGCGCGGGCGACGACGTCCAGCGCGGTGGCGAGGGGACTGCTCGTGGTTGTGCGGGCGGTGGCGCTGGTTTCCCCAGCGTGGCTTCCAACTGCATGGCCACGTGAAGCCAATCGGTCGCTGTTGGAGTGGCGGCGCACAGCAAATAGCCGCGGTAATGCATCGGCATTCTATCGGTCAGTTGCGCCACAACGTGCGTTTCCCCAATGGCGATCATTCGCAGTTGCCGCATCTTGTTGTTATAATACGAGTCGACTGATTCTGCGGCCCCTAGGACACGGCGCTGAGCCTGCACCAGCGGGTCGGCCACTGGCCGCCCGAAACGCGCGATTAATTTGTGTCGGACTTCCGCCCATGTGATTGAGCCCATTCGTGGGGCTATGTCCGTCGCGTACCACTGTAGCGCGTCGTCCACGAGGTAGCCCATGAGCACCTTCTACCTTCTCATTGTCTGTTTTGTCGAAGCCGACCATTTCGAACAAGTGCGGCGTGGTTCAGCCATAATTCGGCGCGGATCACGGTTTTGTGTCCGGAGTACCTTTCTAGAGCGGGTGCAGCCATCTTGGGACGCGTGTTTTTTATGATATGAATTCTAAGTTTTATAAATGTTGTGCGGTACCTCAGTGCACAAGTACTACGATCAAGACACCAGAAAAAATATTTATTCACGTTCCACGTTCAGGAAATTTCAGGAAAAACCTTCCAAAATCCTGACAGCATCATAAGTATATTGTGAACATACTCTATGTCCACATTGACACAAATAATATCTACTTCTTCGGTAGTTTCGAAGTTGTGGTCAGCAACGCAAAAATAACATTTTTTTTTTGCCCGACAAAAACATTTGCAGTTGCACTTGGGCATAATATTTGTTTGTTAGTTTTCCATCTCTAACATAATTCTTATGTGTACCTGCTCTTGTCGGGCATTTAATTTCAATTACAAATTCGTCACATATTCCATCTGGCGACCCAGCAATCATTAAATACTCTTTTGATATTATTAAACCACACTGTCTTAACTTCACTCCCAGTTTCTCCGCTATTACTTTGCGTAAGAATCTTCTAATTTCCGTCCCCGTTTCATCGCAGGAGTTTCAGGTAGTTTACCTCCCATAATTTGTGCGATTACACTCCCATCTGGTGTTTTGCACTTACTGACATCATACGCTCTGGATGCAGTAATCCGCCCATATCGCAACTCGAACCACAGTTTGTTTTCCGACTGATCTCTCGTCAGTTTTTCAACTTTAATCACTGTGTTATCAGTTAACAAGGATTCTGATTTTACTAAACATGTCTCGCAATCTTCACCTTGGTACAACAAGCAGAGCTGATGCATGGAACACATTTCCACATCATCCCTTGGGGACTCATGTTGATACTTCATCAGCTGAACATCCCTGAATTTTCTTTTTTTTCCTTCTTCTAAAAACTCAGATAGAATCCTGGGATCTGGCAGGTAACTCTGTAGATCTCCTTTTGATAGCTCCTTCGATGTTACAAATTTTAAAGTAGTGCCTACCTTAGCTAGCCGCGACTTTCTCCAGTAACACTCAACAGAAGTGCATGAAGGTTCCTCACTCCTTCGATGCACCCACGTGATGAATGCCACAGCATGTTTGCAGCCTCCTTGAGAAGCAGCACAGTCATGGCACTGAACACTCACTATTACATCACTTTCTTCATCCACAACCATAGTGGCAGAATATGGTTTCCCACGAACTTTATGTTCTGGGCAAATCTTACACTTAACTGTGCATAATTTTGCATCTCGACGAAGTTGCACAAAACCCACAGCATTGATTATATATATATATATATATATTATTTATTGCCAAAATAACAATTATTAGTAAATAACTTACATCGCGGTCTTCACATTTCGGAATTCAGCAGAACAGAAGTTACTGTTTGTTGCAAAGAAATTGGCCACTGTAAAACAGTCAATTCTTGGCAAATTTGAACTATTTGCTTTAATAAACCCACTTTCCATTATAAAAAATTCTCTTTCAAACATTTTCAAAGACAGCAGCAAGCGAATCTCGAGCGAATTATACAGAAATCACTGTAGAATTTAAGGGGTTCAAGTCGCTCAGCATGCCTTGCTGAGCACCCTCAGCCCGGTCTGGTCGGCGGTGCTCGTGGCTCATCGGCTTGAGATGCGGCCTCTTCCGCTGGGGGTTGTAGGTCGCGGATGTTGTGGGCGTTCCGGACTTCGCCGCAAGTGGGCGCCGGAGCCACGGGCGTGTGGATTCTCTGGGAATTCGCTATATTAAATTGAGTGACACAGTGACTTGGGTTATAATTATTATTTTATTTTACTTCGTACAACTAATGCACTGTTAATTAATAATTAATATGCAAAAATCAAATTCTTTGGTTGCCACAGCTTTGGTGGTTGCGAAAGAGCGATTGACTCAAGACTCGTTGGCTATATATAGATCTCTCTCCGTTCGTTGTGCTTGAAAGTCTTTTTGTGGCGTCGTGGCGTTTTTGGTTGCTGGTCTGCCGCCAGAGGCGTGACCTAGCTAACAGTACCGCCACAGGCGACTTCAATATAATATCACTGATCGTTTAGACTTTATTTGCAATTTTAATAAAAAAAATTGTCTGTATATGCCAATAGGGCCTTAATATGTAACTGTGTTACTGGTTTCTGATTGAGAATTTAATCGAAAAAGTACCATGCATAGTATGATTTCAATTCTTCTCATGTTCTGCACTACCACACTGAGGTATCAGTGTTTACAAACAAACGTGTTTTCTTATCTCGTGCAATTTTTGTGCGATCGCCATGCGGTTGGCTTGTGTACCACGTTAGTCTCATTTTTGTCGTCAGGTGATCTGCATGCACATTTTCTTCATTATTCTTGAGTTCCTTATTTAATTCCGCATTGTTACGTAATATTTCTATCTTTCACGATTGATGTGCAGCGTTCGTTAAATGCTGATTGTAATACGTGGAAGTAAAGCGTGAGTTAGATTCCGTCGGATACCAATTTGTATTATACGCGTATTTCATCAATCCTCTAATGTGAATAATTAAGGTCCTTGCAAGTTATTGGATATGACAATAATTTATTTTGTATCAAGGTATGTTTTCGCATTTCATCAGGCATATGCAAATCAAATCCGTTATTGACTTTACTTGTTTTTACTTTAACCGCGTGATCTTTAAGCACACAAATAATTTATGTCGCTGTTGCATCAGTTATAGTTGATTTGCATTACGAATTCAATACATTGTTTTGTTTTCGTTTAACGCATAAATTAAAAAGATTAAAATTGCCGTCGGCTACGTTCGATCTTCTGGCGGCTATCCGGGCTGGTCGCCAGTTGTTTTACATGATTAAAAATAAAAATATTCTATTATGTTTTGTTCCTCTTACTTTTCTATGATTCCCGTTGCAAACATTTTGATTTTTTAAATAAAATTAAAAATCAAATTTTCATCTCTTAGATTTCCATTTTAACTAGTCTATCGTATTATCAGTGGATTAAGAATCTGCGATTTGTTTTTTCTATCTCTTTTGGTTTACGAGATATTCGCGATGGAAAGAAATTCACTTTTTAACACTATTACTCGCGTTTTCGACCTTTTACTCTGTGAAATTAAATAATTTAAAATTCTTATCTAATAGAGAATTTTCCAATCTTATCTACAATCACATTTTCATTTTAACTAGCGTATCTTATAGGGAATTTTGCATATATTTAGGATTTGAAATTCGTTCTTGATTTTGCACCGATAAGTGCCGTTGGGCACAGTCCGAGGTTAGCGGTAGAAGTGATTCGTGTTCAAGGCACCGTACGAAGGTAGCGGTAGAAGTGACTCGTGTTCAGGGAACCGTACGAAGGTAGCGGTAGAAGTGACTCGTGTTCAGGGCACCCTATGAAGGTAGCGGTAGTGAGTCGTATTCATAAAATATAAAATACTAGCTGACCCGGCGTACTTCGTACCGCCTTATTTATTTTTTATTTATTTAAACTTTATTACACAAAAAAATAATATTGTACAAAAGGCGAACTTAATGCCGTTAGGCATTCTCTGCCAGTCAACCTTTAGGCATAACAGAGATGATAAGTGGGTAGTGCAGCATAAAATAGATGAGAAAAAAAGAAATGAAAAAATGTTACTTTACTAATAGTACTTCAAAATATAAAAAGCTTTAGCGTAGCTTTGATGCACTACTTTATTTTGTATAGCTGACAGTTGTCCTATCTTAGGTATGAGTACTTATTCAATAAACACTGACCTCAACACCACGCGCACTCTAGAAAGCAATTAATAGCCTCTATACCCTTCTCCGCTTTTCTCTATTCTAATGCTTTTTGATAAATAATATTTTTAGTTTTATGTTCTGGCGCGTAAATAAATAATGTTTATGGGTTTCCGACACGGGAACACGCGACATAATTGGCCATGTGAAAAACATGGATTTTCTAGGTTAATGCCACATACACTTAGCGACTGCCCTTGCGATTTATTTATCGACATTGCAAATGCAAGCCGCACGGTAAACGTTTAAAGTTAAATGGCATGTCGTTCGGTATCATAGGGATGCGTGGGATTAAAACATCTTCGCCTTTGTACTTCTCTTTCAAAATTGTGGCTTCGATGACGTTGTTCAATAATTTCTTCACCGCCAGCCGGGTGCCATTACATAGACGTGGCTGGTTTATGTTCCGTAACATAATAATTACTGATCCGATTTTTAATTGCAGATTATGAGGTAGTAAGCCGGGCAAATCCAGCGAATTCAAAAATTCAGTTGGATAATTGACAACTTCATCTTCATTAGTAACGGAATCAACTGATTTGTAATTCTTCAATTCGCCAGCTATTTTCTCCTGAATCTGAAAATTAATTTCGTTCACATCAACATTTTTTGCGGCCAATATAACACGTTCGCTTAACCAAACGTAATTTCTGTAATTTTGAGCTCCATGAGTTCGGTCTTCGATTCACAAAAGTTAGAAAAATTGGTTGGGAATGTTATATATCCAGATGATGTATCAACAGCAATATTACCATTACCAATATCGAGCAGTTGTTTGAAAAACATTTCTCCAGACTGGTCTTCCTATAATTCAACTCGCATGTTTATACTCAATTTAAGTATTTTAATGTATTTCCATAAAATGGACGTCTTCAAACATGCATTCAGTTCATCAGCTGGCGTTGAGCGTGGAACAACTGGCAATAATTGTCGAAAATCACCTGGCAATAGTATCATTGCACCACCAAACCGGTTTTTGTTATTTCGTAAATCTTGCATCGAGCGATCTAATGCCTCCAAAGATTTTTTGTGTGCCATCGTACATTCATCCCAAATGATCAATCTGGTTTGCTGCAGCACTTTGGCCATCGCAGAATTCCTCGGAAGGTTGCAAGTTGGAGTTTCATTAATGTGAAGGTTCAACGACAGCTTGAGAGATGAATGAGCTGTTCGACCGCCTTCCAACAACGTAGCTGCAATACCTAATGAATCTAGTGCAATTCCATTTTGCGATCGAATCGTTGCCAAAATCAATGATAACAAAAAAGTTTCCCAGTGCCACCGGGAGCATCTAAAAAATAAAATCCGCCAGTTCCATCGTTCACTACTTTCATGAGCGTAGGTATCATAGTGTAGGAATGTTAATACAAATAATAATAATATGGACTTTTGGTAGTTAGATGATAATAATTTAATGAATATGAATGTGAATAACAGTAAAATCGGCAAAAATATCAAAATTACACAAAATAAAGTCAGTTAAATCTTCGAACAACTCCAGCACACCCGACGTCTGCAACTTCTAAATGATGACTGGTTTAAAAAGGGCGTCTGTCGTCTTTATAGCCCCAATGCCCTTGCAAAGCCGTTCAATCCTACAATAGGCATATTTTTGTTGTTAATTTAAAAGGGGAACTGTTCTATCAACGATTTCTCGTAATGTTTCGGAATCATATTGGGTTTCGCGTCTCAATTCTTGATTAAATGCGCCGTGCATTGGGCGATTGGGTGCTATCATTCCTATTTGTATTAATACTTTGTTGGTAAGCATCAAGCACATGTCCTCAATTAAAATTAATGCTTCATTGTGAATTTCTTCGTTCATTTGCAAATCTGCATTCGATGTTCTAAGACATGTAGACAAAATTATAGAAAATAATGTTCGTATTTGTTTAGCATTTGACGAAATCACAGCATCTTCGAGAGTGTGGTCCCAATGAGTGTCATTCTCTAAAAGTCCCATATGTTGATAGGCTTCTCTGTATGTGCCACACAAAACACCATTAACAGTTCGCAGATGTTGGACCATGAACATTGACTAACAGTAAACGCAAATAAAAACACTCGTCTTGACTGGGATGGACTGCATAAAGACGGCCTAGTGCATTGGTGGAAAATACTTGTGGGTAACCTGGAACTGGGTGTCCTCGTTTTCGTCGTTGAAATTTTTTTGATGATTGATTCCAGGTATAATATCTTGGCATTTCGGAGTAAAGTAGCGTTCTGGCAAAATCATCCGTCTGGCACATTTCAAAGAAGCTGGTTAATGTTGTCGATGGTGGCCTGTCAACTCGTTGTAATACGTTCGCTTCTGTAAAATACACCCGTTGACCATTTTCCAAATGTACAGCCAAGTGAACAACAGTAGGGTGTCGTTCATGTATAGGAAACGAAAAAATTCGCCACATTCCTTTGTTACTGCTAACATAGCGGCCCATTTGATATTGAGTGACTTTATCATTTAAATTTTCGGCAGCAACTCCGAAGACAACCATGTCACTACCTTTGGTCAGGTACTTGCAAACGTATTTAATAGATTTTACGGAGTGGCAAAATTCGACGTTTATGTGTGCTTTATATGCCTTGCAGAGTAATGGCGAAAACGGAACAACCCAACGATTATCAAGTTCAATGTCCTGTCGATTTACTTTGACTATTGTTGACTAATATTCCGTGGCGAGTTATTTCCAAAAATAATAATTTCGTGCGGTAGAATTTAATGATTAAGTAACCGCGTTTCCGAACAAACGATGCTCTTTCAATAATATAGCCTATAGCTGAATGACCATGACATCATCAACCGGTCAACTTCAACCCACACGTACACACATGCACACGTCTATGCTTGGGGGAGGGGAAACGAAGCATCGCACAAAGAGGAGACGGGGATAATAGAAAACTTTTTTAAAATATTCAAAATTAATGTATATTTTTCAATCTTTCTGAGACATTTTCCTAATATTTTTTTCCGTAAGAACCTTCCTCAGAGTATTAGAAAACTTCAAAAATTTATATGGCTCGAATCTGCGTTGCAAATAAATATGAAGATAAGATGCGCAACGAAACAGGAAATGCGCTATTAGATGACTTTAAGACAATTATTTCTAGAGAAATTGATAATTACGTTTTAAACAAATAGGTATTGCGCTTGAAATAAATATCGAGATTGCGTCTTAACTAATGTTTCTTGTCTGGTCATCGGGTTCTGTTCATATAACTCCTCCCTTCACAGAGTCAACTCCGAGGTGGAACCGAGGAAGTTGGACTTCTTGGAGTTCGATATCTTCGGGGCAAGATTTTTCCCGTCTGCTGTTGAGCCATCGTCGAAGGTAGGGGTGTCCGATGACAATGGTGATGATTATACCTAGCAATATGATTAGCGTATACTGGGTATAATCGTGAGCTTTGGTTTTTGTTCGGAATGGATTGATCTGGGACCATTTTGCTCTTGCTTTCAAGTCATTAATTTCATTAATATTTATTGGTTCAATATTTACGGTTTCCCAGTCTGCCTGGTTGATAGTATCAAGGTTGTCCTTGTTGAATGCAATGAACAAGGGCTGGCTAATGCCTTCTGTGATGATTGGCTGGATTGTTTCTCCATTGAACTCGAACTGACAGGTGACTGAAGGTCGAAGAAGGAATGTCCCCCGGACAGATTGAAGTTCCCTCTTCTTTGGACAATTTACCTTTAGTTCGGTGGCGTATGGAGCAAATAATACCCAATATGCCGTGTCCTCTATTTCCTGAATTTGTGGTTCCACGATTTCAATTTCGTGTTGCACACAATTTGACAGATTTTGTTTTGTTATTATGTTTGTTTCACAATTGTCCCTTTGCACGTTCTGTATAATTGTTGGTTTGCAAAAGTACGTTCCATTCAGAAGCTAACAATCGTCAGATTCGTGAGGTACCTGATTTCCGGCAACTAATAAATATCTGGCTTGTGGAAGAATTACACGGAAGGTATTGTCCTATAGCCAAATTGGGATAGGATACAATTTGTAAAGGTCAAATGATGTTTCGTAGAACATTGGTACTTCTAGAATGAACACTATTCTAGTGTCGACAATATATGATTTTAGCATTATTAATTTAGAATAATTGATTACGTTTTCGTGTGAAACTTCAAATGGTAACTGATTAAGATTGCCCCTCGATTCTAAATCTTGTAATGAGGTATATAACTCATTTGTTGTAATAATACTTGGGTGCATGAGTCTTAATTTTGAAAAAGTTAAGGCAGTGACCAAATTACTTAGCATGTGCTCAATTGTTTGGTACATCAGATGTAGTTGATTTAACGTATCTGTGACGTCATGAATCTCAGATTTTTCGATTTGATTCTTTAAATGCTTTTCAGCTCTTTGCAAGTGTAATTCCAGCGAAACTTCGTTTCTACTTATTGTTGCAATTGTCTTATTAAATTTATCTATAATTTCTGTTGATAAAGTGTCTTGATCTTGAATTTGATTATTAATTATTTTTTGATTTGCTTCTAGATTTTTAATCATTTCTTCGTATTTTCTGCCATCTTCATTGTCAAGATTGCCTGATATTGTTTTTATAACTGAGCCCAAGGCATTAATTAGACCTCTTTTAGTTCTTTTATTTGGAATTATTTCATTTATTTCCTCGGAAATAGTACTTTGTACATTCGTAATGATTTTTACGTAATTACCCAAGCTTGATTCATAGTGCGGATTATTACTAATGGTCTCCAATATTTGATTGACTCTAGCATTTAGCTCTTCGAAATAATTGATAATCAACGATACATTGTAATAATGTATAATCGTATGGTGATATTTTTGAATTTTTACCGGGCCAAAATGAATTGGTAACAATCCAGGATTGGATTGTAAATTTTTAATTTCCACCTGCGCTGGTACTAGAGTGATCAGTGCCAAGAGGAGGGCGAACCTGTAGGAGAACGTCCTGTATTATTTTTACCGGTCTTTTGATATTTCTAGTATGGTAAGCACGCTTTGTTGTATTTATTAGATTTTTTGACGGATCTATTGTATCGATTTGTTCTTTTCCTCTAAATTTATTTTGTACTTTCGTGATTCTTTGTAACTCTTTTGGATAGAATGTCTCGTTTTCCCGTAATATCGGTTGATTAATGTTTTCATTATATTTTTTAGCAACTTGTTCCTTCTGATTTTGCAATTTTTCATTGATTTTTTGATATAATAATTTGACCTTGTCTTTATGATTTTGAACATAATTGCTCATTAGTGCCATAAAAGTTAACCTGGTTAATTAGCTGACCATTTAACTGGTTAATCAAAATTAACCGGTTAAACTGATTAACTGGTTAACCAGTTAAATGGTTAATCGGTAAAATAGTAAGCTTACTTCAATTTCAATATGTTAATTTTAACTTTTATTTTAATTTACATTTTTAACTTATTACACTGAAGAATATTTTATAAATTATAATTAAGTAAATTTATATTATATATTTTTCGGTAATGTCTCGATTCTGGTATAAAAATATAAGCATATTCGCGGCATTTGAAGACAGACAACTTCACTTTGCTGATATCACAGTACCAACTGTTGAAAAAACACGTTCAGACGGGGTACTTGTTGACGGATTACATAAATACTTTTTTGCTAATCTAGCGAGGGAAGGAAATTTATGTCTTTTTGAGTTCCACCAAACGAGAGGATTGTCAGCTTTTGGAATCACTGCTTCGGACTTATAACTGGCCACCTTCAATTCAAATTTGTCAGTATCTTCACCGTCAAAACTGACACTTCTTTCAAAACTTTGGGAAAGAGTTTCAGGGTTGAATAAGTAGTCAATATCTTTTTCTCTTTGATTGCTCTTAGAGCAACTTTGGGTAGCAGTTTGGTCGTCGTTTTCTCTTATCAAGTCTAGCACTTTTTCTTCTATTCTTGAACGATACTCTGGTGTTTCTTCTCTCAAATCTTTGTATCTAAAAAAAAGTAAAGAGAATGAATTCTTGATCCAAGAAATGTTTTCTTATATATCAAGAATAATTTCTTGCTTCAAGAATTTCTTGTCTTGATTCATGAACATCATTTTCTTCAAAATGGTATTCTTGAATCAAGTAATAATTTTTATCAGTGTAAATTCTCGCTAAGAAAATTGGAAATTTTTAAATATTAAGAAGTTATTTTTATACACTGATAAAAATATTACTTGATTTGAGAGGAAACTCGGATCGTGTAGTTTACATCAGAATGTTTTGTCACAATGGTGTACGGCCCATTCCACAATGGATGTAACTTTCTACATAAACCTTGTTTTATTGCCTCAGTTTTCATAAGTACCTACCTGGTCTCCGACGCAAAATACTTTGACGTTACTATGTCTGTCATAATTCTGTTTGGCTTTAATTTTAGATTTTCCTATGTTTGATTTTGTAAATTCTCTAATTTCTTGCATTTTTGAACGCAAATTTAGGACATAATCATCATAATTATAAAGAGGTTGGGGTTTCCTCGTTATAGCCGAAGGCAATTTAGCTTCATAACCAAACAGTAAGTTAAATGGTGTGTGTCCCGTTGCTGTGTGTGGGGTGGTATTATACGTAAACATGGCTGTTTGCACAAATTCGTCCCAATCTGTTTGATTTTTTGTACAGAAATGTCTTAAATACTCCGCTAATGTTCGATGTGATCTCTCTAATGCTCCATTTGTCTGCGGGTGGTATGCCGTTGTTTGTAATTTATGTATGTTCAAAAGTTTGCATAATTCTTTAAATAATTTGCTCAAAAAGTTAGTACCTTGATCGGTTAAAACAAAATCTGGAATACCATATTTACATATTATATTGTTTACTAGTTCCTTTGCAATTGTCTTTGCTTCCTGGTCGGGTATAGTCATTGCTATTGAATACTTTGTTAGATCGTCTTGTGCCGTTAAAATGTATTTATTTCCTGATTGACTACATGTTAATGGTCCTACAATATCCAAATAAATCTTTTCGAATGGCTGCGAAGATGTACTACTGGTGATTACTAACGGCATCTTGATCGGCTTTGTAGTTATTTTGTTTCTTTGGCAACTATCACATTTCTTGATATATTTTTGGATATCTTCTTTCATGTTTTTCCAACTGTATTTTTGCTTCATGCGTTTATAGGTTCTACTTGCACCTTGGTGTCCTCCAGTGGGTGAATCATGATACTCATGTATTAATTCTAATTTCTGTTCTTCGGTAATACTGTCGGATTCTTCAATTATCGTGTCATAATTTACTACTTTCACATTTTTGATTAAGTATCTAAGAACTGGTCTCATTTTTTCCCATTTGAAATTTCTATTATTCTTTATTGTCATTAAGTTTATTTCTTTTAAATTCATTTCTTGTAAAACGTTTACCAATTTGTCAACTTCGTATTCCTTGTATATAAGGCATATTAGTTTGTTTTTATATTTACTGCTTATATTATTCAAAACAAGTATGTCATTTAAGCTGGGATTCTTTTGTTCGATTTCAAAAAATAAGTTGAATTTTCTGTCTAAAATTTGTAATTCGTTGCTGTTAATGTTCGGTTTCCTAGGTATAAAAATAACGTTTGCATTTCTATCTAATTCATTTTCTGTTATAAGTGCTTGCTCAATTATGTTTGGATTAGTTATGATTTTGTATTTCGTATAATTTTCAAATTCTAGGTAACCGTCTATTTCTCTGGTTTGAGTTGCATAAATTCTGCTTAGTGCATCTGCATTGGTGTTTGCTCGGCTAACCTTAATCGGTATTTTAAGAGTCTGGCTCCTGGATCCTTCACTGCTCTTTCGATGACACTATTCAAATCATTAGCTTCGCAACCCAGCAATGCGTTTTGAATTTTAAAATTTAATAGCCCTCTTTTAAACCCATTTACACAAATCGTTTCTATTGTTTGATCATCTCTTTCGGCAATTCTCAGAAATTGAGTTCTTAGGGATTTTATTCTGCTTGCATACGTGTCAATATTTTCATTACTACGTTGTTTGCAGTTTGATATTTCGTTTATTAGTGTAGGAATTGATTTTGTCACTTGTGTTGCAACTCGCTGGTTAGAAGGTGAAGGTTGCTGTTGTAGTATTGAAGACGTAGTTTTATTGGTGGAGACAACCGTTTATTATATCGAATTTAATTAGATGCTCTTAGGACTTGTAGATTCGCGTACTTAACAATAATGAATCGGACAGCGACAGTGGCAACTCTCTTGACTTCTGTAACTTAGTAACTGAACAAATGCCAAAAAGTGTCTTAAGTACTAGGAAGTCCTACTGGACTTTCTTCCGTTGTGACGTCGATGCGTGATTGGGTGTTTACATGGTGTCATTAAGAGCGTGAACATTATAGATAACTTATTACTAATGATGGAAATGTGTGATTGCACTAGAACTGCCTAAAGTCCAAGGCGTGATTTAGAAAATAATGAACGATGCGTAAACAATAACAGTAACTAAAATTAAATGGGAAAATAACTAGATTCTAAGAATTGGGAGCATAACACCCCTCCCCCTTTAAGAATGGGCATGGCCCTTTTATTTGGGAGGAGTAGTTGTTTTACATCTCCTGTCAGTGATTTACCGTGAAGATGATGCTTCTTAATTACATATTTGTCCTAAAGATATTCTTGTGCTTCTGCGGGTCTGCGGGCTCCGGGGGTACAAGGTTCTCGGAAGTATCCGATTTTACAACTTCGAGAGCTATCTCTACAGGAGGCGAGGTGACTTGTTGCGTCGCTTGGTTTTTGTGATGTAACCAGATGAATCGGCCTGCCCACATGGCGGCGGCGAGTAGCGTTGCCGTGAACATGACACCCATTACGCTGAAGATTTGATTTTGGGTTTTAACAGTGTACCTAGTTTCTTTAAGAGTTTCCTGAGCTTCTATCAAGTGCTCCCGAGCTTCCTCCAACTGGTGCAGATCTGTAAGTTCTACATGGATATGTCCTTTTGGTATTTCTGCGGTCTCGTCCGAAATAGATATGTTGGGTTTCTCAAAATTAAACGTTGAGAATCGGAAACGAATTTGAGACATTTCGCCGGTGGCGGCGACCATGATGGTTCTGGGGGTGTGACACCTACAACGTGGTTTAATTTCGATTAGTCCGGATCCTTGCAATTGGATTTCTTCTGGTTCCTGGGCTTCGCAGATGACAACTGCGCGAACAGCCTTAGAGAATACATAGAGCCATTGGGTTGCGCTCAGTCGGTGAGTGACCTCAAAATTCCTGCGAGTTTTCCGCACCTCGCAGTTGCTAGGACTTCTGCTGTTGACTTGGTTTCGTAGTTGCGCTTCGCAGGGTGCATCTTCGCGGTTTACATAGATGGTGAGATCTCCGCAGATTCTGGACCTCTTGTTGATATTCGTACAATCATCTAAATTCTCTCTCAAAGTGAATCTATCGTTAGCAATACTTGTCATTAGGTAGGTATTTTGGATGTGGATGTATGAAGAGGAATCATCATTAAAGGAATATGGAATAGGAATCATTTTATAAAGGCGATAATCTGTCTTGCTTACCAAAGGAACCTTGATCGCGAATACTAATACTTCCGTGGTTGTTGCCACGTTCAAATCGCATATACGATAGTAACTTCCGATATCATCCGTTTGTACAGGGAGTTTCGTGTATTGTGACAATGATATTTTATTTAATTCTTCCTGAAATTCTGACGGTGATAGAAGGTTCGGATGTATAGCGTTAGATTTGGCCATGATTAGAGCTTCAGTGAGTTTTCCGATTTCGTCTGTTAATGTCAACAGAAATTCCGCGAGAAGGTTTTGATAATCATGAATGATTGCTGCGTGCGGAGATATCCCATTTATTAAAATGATTTCTTCGTTGTTTGGCTTTAGAGACGTTTGACGGATTTTATCGCTTGAAATAATAGAGACGTTGGCACCTGTGTCTACCAAGAATTTAAATTGGATAATTTCATTATTAGCGGTTAAGTATGGTAGCACGATAAAAGATAAATTATTTCTGTCTGCTAAATTAATTTGGTGCTGTTGTCTGCTAGAAGTGTCGAAGGTTAAAAGATCTAATTGTCCGGAATTAGCGTGACAATCCTCGGACTGATTAGAATTCATGGTTGCGTAAAATGAGCTTGTTGATTATTGCCAGAATTTCTTGCTTTAATTTCAACATTCTCAATCAGATGACCTGGTTTTACAATAATTATCTTTTCGGAGTTTGCGGATAGAGTTGACGGGTCATCTTAGACTTGACGGTTGATTCGTCTTATAGGAATTGTTGACTGCTTGATTTACTTTCCGAGTATTAGAGTCCGCGAATTGTCTTTTCCTACATTCTGATATTAAATGACCGGGACTTTTACAAAAGTTACAGAATTTCTTTGATGGGAAGGTTGAGGTTTTCATTCTCCTTGCTAATAAGAATTTCTCTTCATCGATAGCTTCGGATAAAGCTGTGTTTAAATCGGTCGGTTTAGAACGACGTAGTGCGTTTGAGATTTCGTCGTTTGAATGTAAGATGAGTCTAGAGAGAGCGATTTCATTGATCAATTCGATTTTTCCGTTTTGAGTAGCCGTATTTGTAGACGCGATTTTATTTAGTGCAATTGTTTGGAGTTGTGTGATTCTGTTATAAAATGTTTGGACGTTTTGCCAGTCCACCTGACTTTCAATGCACTAAATCATCGCGTCTACAAACACGACTTCTAAAATGAAAAATCGACCGATCAATAATCTGGAACTCTTACATTCAAACGACGAAATCTTCAAACACTATCGTTATAAGCTCATTTCGACAACTTGCAACATCAGCTAAATTCTTCCAGCAAGGAATAACACTCAACACCTTCCATCCAGAATGCCAGCGGCTTTTTGTAAAGTCCCGGCCTCGCCAATATCGAAATGAGAAAAGGCATTGCGCGAATTCTTCGGAAAACCATCAACAATCTATAACAAATCGAAATTCAAAAGACTGTCAACTCAACTCGCAGTAACCATAAAATCTGACGGAATGTTGAAGTAAAAGCAAAAGAAACTGCAGCAATAACAAGCTCTTACCAAACTGCAATTAAACTCAATGTCGAGCATTGCTCGAACAGTAGACTCTTTAACCTTCGCACTCCTTTGGCCCAACGAACGAAAATAATTATCTTTGCTCGTGCTACCATAACAGCAACAAAATTTATCCCGAGCTAATTCTTGGCCGAACCAACATTCTATTTCAGCGACCAAAATAAAATAAATATACTGCTCGTACAACAATGAGACCATCCGCATATCATTCGCCGTTATCAAAACGCTTCGCGAAATTTCTGACGACATTCAACTTTGAGCAATCGACTCACTGGCTCTGTCGCCAACCCGCTAACGCCATCGACTTCTATGCGTCATTTCAGGAAAACAAATAACTATCATTGTCTGTACAACTGATATCGAGAAGATTTTCGCTCGCCTTAACCGCGACTGGCTGTGTACAACTGCCAATATTAGCCTGCGTCAGAACTTCGCACGAATTATCGCCTTTGCAATTCACATTCCCATATTCGCAATGATGATTCACCTCTTCGCCATCCCATCCCAAAATACCCCAATAACGGTATTAGCAATTCACTTTACGAAACTGACCGGTTATGCGATATCGGCACAGAGGTCCAGAATCTTGCGGAAACCATCTAACAAACGAGCTTACAGCTTTAACAAAACAGTCGAGAAAATAACAGCTTTCGCGAAAATGCCAACTTTCACCGAGGCGAGTCACCCGGCTTTGACGCAACAACTGGCTCTATTCTCTAGGCTATTCGCGGGTAATAAATGCGAACAGAAAAATCCAGTACTGAGATCGAATATCAGGCACACCAGGCCATCGCCAGTCGCCACCGGCATTCTCAACGTTTATTTTGAGAAACGGCTAGAACGGGCGGCTCTGGGCTGCCATCCTGTAGAACTTTTGAATACTGCACCGGTGGAAAGCTTTCGAGCACTTGATAAACTCAGGAAGCTTTCAAAAAGCTTTAGGTACTATTAAACCAAAAATCAAATCTTCGAAAAT